ACGGTAAACAATAAGTGCTGCCTGTCATTTAATAGAGACGTGAAATACTGGGTGGACCACATCCTGAAATCCGGCGAAAAACCGCAAGAGAGGAACGCCTCTCCTCGGAGACTAAAAAGGGGCGTAGCTACTTATACGCACGGTTTGCACGTGAGTACCCGAAAACGTTGGGGAGAAAAAGTAGAATGAAATAAACATAACATAAAAATCGGTTTTCAGAGAAGCGACGACATTAATTGGACCACCGAATCTTGGATGAGTTATTTATATAGCAAGCTTGATGATCTAAAGCGTGAACGCGTTGTTTTCTCCGCGACCTGTCTTCGGAGTAGGAGAAGTAGGGCACAATTTCGTCAATGTGTGGTGCTTTTGACGGTCAAAAATAATGTGACAAAAAGGGGTAAAAAGAGTCATTTGTAAACTAAAGTCGGAGGTACTACAAGCTTGATTTTTAATAGCTGAATTAATGATAAACGATTGACGTCAATGAACATAACAAGCCGACAGAATTAAAAAAATTTAGAGGTTGTGTCATTTCATAAACAGCAAAAATGTTTTTTCTTACAACCGTTAACCCCACTTTTAATAAAGGCACCTTTAAAAAATGTGGAGATTTGGGGTGGGGGGGTGGGGGAGGGGCGAAGACGATGTAGAAAAAGTTGGGCGTAACTCCGGAAAAATCCTGACTACGCCCCTGCTAAAGCCTGTAAACTGAACAACAGGAGTCTTGACGAAACGTCCTCAGTTATCATCTGTCAGGGGTCGTACTTTTAAGGAAGCGCTGATCAAGAATCACTCATTCCAGCGAAAAAAGGAGTGACAACAGTGGTAAGCGGTCTTTCTGTGAAATGTAATGCAATCTTTGCCGTTTACGATCTTTCGGCGCTTGGATTAAAAAACGTTGTTGTTTGGTATGTTCTCCCGTGTGGATACTTGACATTTCCAATATGTGGAAACACCATGCTAAGGTACGAACAACAGACATTCACAACATTGTTTTGTACGCTAAAATCTGATTTCATGGACGTAAAACGTTTTGAATTTGAAGACTTTTTAATATTAGTGCTTTGCCCTCCCTTTGACAACTTCACGTGACTGGTGCACTTGGCAGGAGTTGACAGCTTAAATCTGCCTTTCTTGATAGCAAACGGCATTAATTTATATCAGATCGTTGTATAAACACGTCTTGGTTTCTGAAAGCTGATAACATGAAACCACTGTTGCTCAAACTGATTTCATCTTGTATTTTTCCGAGTTTTTAGCATCAGCCCGCCGAGTCTGGAAAGCTCAAATTTCAGAAAAGTACTACTTGTATCTTTTCGCCTCAAAAATTTTCTTTTAAGTTGCCCATAGTTTTGAAAACAGATTTTGAAAGAAGAGATAACGCTCTTTAACGTGGATATAAGACTTGTTACTGAAATCGAGGTACCAGTCGACGATTTGGGGCTTTGAAATTTGCCATTTTTTCATTGAACGAAAAAGTTCAAAATATTGAAAATAATGAAAAATCTCCAAAATATTACACTTTCGTTCAAACTGAGTAGATCACCACTTAAAATGTGTGCAATTATGTGCTCTTTTGAATAAGTTATTTGTTGTCCGCATTACAGTGGATTTGAATTTTAAAACGATTTTTTTGTGACACATGGTCTCGGGCCTAGAAAACCCGGTCCGAGAGCCGAGAAACCAATAACCCCCCCGGTACGTGGAAAATAATTATCGGATCGAAGTAAAAATTACATTTATGTTAATAGCTTACCTAGTGCTACTTTGTGAATTTTTTTGAGAATTTTTTTTTTTCCACCTGTATAAGTGCAACTTCATTCAAAATTTGGACTTTTAGCGAAAAGACTCGAACGAATTTTTTTTAAATCTCTTCACATAATCTTCACGGTAAATATAATAAGGTCTGAAACTTTCATTGAGATTGATTCAATGCATCATCTTCAAATTTCAAGCAAACCTATCCTACAAACCTGTCAAAAATCTGCGTTACAACATTCACTGTTTTCACGTTATGCTAATTTTTCCAAAATAATGCGCACTATACATACCTCCATGACTAGTACATTTTATTCTGAATTTATCGCATCTTTTGAATGTAAACATTGACAATACTCACACTGAAATGTACCAGTCATGGAGGTATGTATAGTGAGCATTATTTGGAAAAAATTAGCACCAAACGTTAAGTTCCTAGTGTTGGATTTTCAGTAGCTGGTCTAGATAGCGCAAAATTTGGCGTTTATCAATTTCAAAGTTTTTTGTTTATTGTTGTCATAGTAATATCGATTTTACTAAAACCTATAGTCAATCATTGGTGAAAATTTTATAGGGATCAGACAAGGATAAAATTACTTTTGAAGCGATTGAAAAATATTGGTAGGGCCTCTAAAAAACAATACCCCGTTATCGAAACACCTTAACTATAAAGTTTTCATCTCTTTCATGGAGATAATTCAAGTAATTAATTATCTTTTTATTTATACAAATGATCAAAGGAAATCTGCCAAGTTCAGCTCTGCATACAACATTGGATGACTTAATATTATATGGACTTCTAAATAAAGTGTTAATGAGTGTTTTCGATCCCGGAGCTATCCCATGATTTAAAATCTGATTTCACAAAAGCACCCCAGACTTCACTATTGTAGGTTAAAATCGGTGAGATCATTGTGTCAAAAATTTCACTTGCAAGCCAAGGTTTCAGTTTACTAAAATCAGTGTGGCGTCTTAGACTAAAAAGAGCATGAAGGGCTTTTTGTCGAAGATGTTCAAGTGAAAGTGTAAAAATTCCGGAAGATGAGATGCGAGTCCCTAAGTAAGTATAGTCTTGTATAATGTCTAATATATAGATTTAGCCAGGGCTAAAAGCGAAGCTCCCATTAATAAATTTATAATTTAAACCAAACAATAAACTTGCAATCCACAAATCAGTTAACTTAAGGGCACATTCATGTGACTTTTGAGGGGAAGGCTAAGTGATTTTAGGGTGAAACATCTTACATCGAGTTGATAGCCTTATATATACACCCAAGAAATAGCAATCATCTTCGATCACATTCAACAGCAATAATGGCTCTTGATCACAGTAGCTAAGGACTGGAAAACAAATTCTTGAAAAACAAATCAGGCCGAATTTTTTGCGTTCGACAAGTTTACTTTACAAAATCTTGCTAACAAATCTGGGGGTGTATAAACCAACCTTTTGTAATTTTTATACATCACATCTGAGGTGAAACAGTACTATGAGGCGCTGTATTTCTCATACAGACCTCGGATAGAATGCAGTATTTCACAATTTTTTAAAACAAATTGCACTCAGTCAAAATCCAGGACGATCAATCGTAAGCTTTCAGCGAAACCGTTAAAAAAATTTCCAAAATCACCTAGATACGGCCAGCCGGTTCTCACTTTAGACAAGCCGGCCAAATTTGCAGTGAGAACTCTGTCCATTGTTTGAATGAACATTGATAGAATTACCCTTCAATTTTTGTCATTTAATGGTTTTATAACGATATGTAATCTTAAAGAGCGTTTGATACTGAATAATTATAGCCATTTTTTCTATGCACAAATCTGACTGTTCCTTCAATAGCAGTTTCATAATCGTAATTCTAAGCTTAAAGTCCGTGAAATGTCTGGTTGTATAAAACGTGGGACTACTCTAAACTTTGATTCAGATTTATAGATTGCCTTCGATACTGGTTTGTCCATACAATTTTCATTAGACATTGCTTTTTTTTATTATCTTTTTAATCGAGGATCATTCTCTTAAATTAAACCACATTGCGATGTAGGTTCCCTCATACAGCATAGTTAAGGTTCGTAGCAACGATGAACGGATGTTAATTATCGGCGCCCACGAAAAATTATCAAGGAACCAATGCAAGAAATCAATACTACCGCAGTGAAAATAAAAAATAAGAGAATTGCAAACTGATATGGACCCACTATTCAAATAACCAGTGAGTAACGCAAGACTAAGGGGAAGAGGGAGCTTTAAAAAACTGAAATGCCTTAAACAGCCAGTAACCTGGAACTAAATTTTTAAAGTTCTTGCTTCTTTTACTGTTATTCCCTTGAATCTTTTCACTGCTTAAAGAAAAACAAATGGAAAACAATCACTGGTGTTATGTCTTGTTTCCTTATAAAGATTTTAATGATGACCGTGCGGCATGGATAAAGAAAGAGAACACAGTTGTGCTATTCACTACGAGACCGTAAAAAGCGCTAAGCTAGTTACCCCGCAAAATTATGCCTCTTGGTTGACTTTGTTCGAAGCTGCTAAAATTAGAAGTTCCCAGCCTATACTTAACTTAGCAAAGACCGTCAATGAAGGTGAAATCCCCTCCATACCATACCACGGAGATTGAAGAAGTAGGTTTACTTTAAAAAGGGATTTAGACACTCTTGAGCAAAAAGCAGACGGCAGGATTGAAGGGGAAGAGGATGATGAAACAGGTCTGTCAAGAGCAAAAAAGCGAGTCACGCCAGATATTTCTCGCATTTACAAACAGGAATGTATCTTCTGTGAAAAAGACAAATATGTTAGATCCTCTCCAGAAAAATTGGTAAAGGCTACACAACTAAGAGTGGATGAAACCCTAAGGAACATTGCTACAGAGAAATGCGATCATAAGATTATGGCGTTAACCAGTAGAGAAATTGTTGCCGCAGAGGCGCACTATCACAGGTCCTGCTACCGTGAGTAGACAAGACCTAAAAAGCAAGGGCTCGGGTGTGACATAAGTGACGATACTCAAGATACAGATTTCAACGCATTCAGTGACCTATTTGAGCACATAAGAGAAGAGGTATTGGAAAAACAGAGAGTTATCCCCATGACTGAAGTAACAAACTAGTTCGAGTTATTTGCCAGACAGAGAGGAATTGAAAAGGTGAAAGAGACAGCGAAAAAGCACATTAAAAGGAAAATTGATGCAGAATTCGGCACAACGCTGGAGATCTTTCCCAGCAGTGGAGGAAAACTGATTGTCATGCCTGCTAACCTAAGCCTAAAAGAAACAGTGGAAGCCAAACTTGAACTTAAAAAGGAAGTGGATATACTGCGTCAAAACACACAGCATGCAGATAAAATAGTAGACAAGTGTTTCACACACATAAGAGGAGAACTGTTAAAGAGCAAATGGAGTTCTCAGTGGCCTATTCATCCGTTTGATGTGAAAGAAGAGCGGTTTGACGTTCCCGGATGTCTAACAAGACTTCTTACGGGAATAATCACAGGTTATCCAGTTCCATCTCCCACTGTTCACGTTCAGTCGCTGGTAAAATCCTTCAGCCAGGACATTGTTTACGCAGTAACAAATGGCAAGATAAAGTCACCCAAGCAGGTTCTCTTATCCTATGGAGTGAAAACGCTGACCGGCAATGTGCAGCTTATCCAGATTTTAAACCGTCTTGGACATGGGGTGTCATACTCACAGTTAGAAACTGCCCTATGCTTAGAGAAAATGGCAGCTGCAATTAACGAGTCAGCAATCCTTCCCGACACAATTCGCCCCAATGTGTTCACTAATTTGGCATGGGATAATGTCGATCGCCTTCAAGAGACTCTTACAGGGTGAAGAACAAGCCACCGAGTAAATGGCATAGCGGTCCAGCCAAAAGTTTATGGTCCTTACCTTCCTAAACCATCTCTACCTGCAATCAGAAAGAAAAAGCAAAGAAGCATCACGCAGGACGTTCCATGCCTTTGTACGTACATATCGGGAGAAAAAGTGGAGCCACCGCAAACACCACCACCAAGAGGAAATGCTCAACACAAAGCTGAAGCAGAACTCGCTGCGAAGAAGAACTTCATATGGCAACTTGCATGAGACCTCGGTCATAACGGCGAGAGACAAAAGACACTAAGTTGGACAGGCTTTAACATCAAGACAAGAAATAATTTTAATTTAACCCAAGATGCCGCGGGCTACCTACACACAATAAATGCCCCTGCAACTGAGATGACGACTGTAAAGGAGATCTTACGGCGGTCAGACGAAATCAGAAAGACACTAGATTTGTCGGCGATTGTGGTAGTCATGGATCAAGCATTGTTCGCTAAGGCAGCTCAAGTCGCATGGAAAGAACATGATAGATATGCAAGTATTATATTACGACTTGGAACATTCCACACAATATGCAACTTGCTGTCAATCATCGGTAAACGCTTTCAAGACGCCGGGCTACGAGATATTGTGCTGAAGCCGGTATAATGGCTGAGGGATCTGTTTCAAGTGCACTAGAAGGAAAAATGTACAACAGAGCAGTAAGACTACACAAGTGTGTATACGAAGCCCTAAACCGTTTAGTATGGCACCAGTTTGAGCCTTGGGTTACAAGCAACCATCCCACCATGTCCTTGGTCGTGAGCACACTGAAAGAAAGCATCACTGACTTAACAGCAGGCTTAAACCAACAGAAGCACGATGAATTCTTAAGCTCTAAAGCAAGTGTATGAACTATGGACACTGTTTCTCGACTTTCTCCGCTGTAACAACGGACAATTGTCCGCTTTTTGGATGTCATATATACAGTTAGTAGATGTTCTTCTTGCTTTAATCCGCGCTTCTCGAGATGGCAACTGGCACCTTCACCTCCACGCTGTTCGTGAGATGATACCTTGGTGCTTTGCTTACGACAAGGTAAATTATGCCAGGTATCTGCCAGCCTATTATGCTCAGATGATAAGTCTGGAGAAAGAGCATCCTGATGTTTATCAACAGTTTATGGATGGCCACTTTACTGTGCAGCTAGGGGATGAAAGGTCATTTAGCCGTATTCCTGTCGATCAAACAACTGAAGTAACTGTAAACAAGGACATAAAGACACCAGGAGGCGCGAGCAAATGCAGTTTAAAGATAAGCGCCATAAACAGATATTACCTGACGGCAGAATACAGGTGTTCTTTTCTCGGACAGCTAAGGGACTTTGTCCAAGTAAAGAGGTCTTCTGCTCACCATGACGACCTGCATGAGCCAAGAATTGAGAAGGATGAAAAGTCAGTAGCGTCCGTTCAAAGCCTAATAGAAAGCTGCGAAAACCCATTCGATCAAAGTCACGAACTGTCAAGCATATCAACTGCTCAAAAAGTGCCTTTGAATGTTGCCAATGATTTGGTGCGAGCTCGGCAAGTTGGAGAGACGGCATACCAACAGTTTAAGACAGAAATGATTGAAAGTTAAACCCCGAAAACAAAATTTCACGATCCTCTGAAACTAAACAAGCTGAAGACGTTCGCTTCCCTCGCTAAACAGAAGACCGTCAACTCAAATGGGCGTGCACTTATCTCAAAGGCCGATAGAAGTCTCTTTAGAAGAATGATGATAATAGGTCAGAGTAGAAAGATTGAAGTGCGAGAACTGCTTTGCCACAGTCTTGGCCCCTTGCCATGGGCATTGGCCACACCAGAGGGTTTCCCAAGGAAGACCAATAAAGCAAATTTTGCCTCGAACGAGCACAAAGACGTCCAGCTTGCAGAGCAAGTGCCACAGCATTCAGCAACTGTAATTGATGGAATGAGTTTGGTACAGAAGATTAACATTGGCACCAACAAGAGCACATTTTCGAAAGTTGCATCTTTGTTATTTTCAAGAGTTCTTAGAGAAGGCTCAGAGAGCAACACAATAGATGTGGTATTTGATACTTTGGGAGCAAGGGTGGCGCAGTGGTGAGAGCACTCGCCTCCCACCAATGTGGCCCGCGTTCAAATCCCGGCGTCGACACCATATGTGGGTTGAGTTTGTTGTTGGTTCTCTCCCTTGCTTCGAGAGGTTTTTCTCCGGGTACTCCGGTTTTCCCCTCTCCTCAAAAACCAACATTTCCAAATTCCAATTCGACAAGGAATCAGGTAGACGAAGAACCACTATGTGGATGTGCTACCTGCAAAGTCCGGAACAAGACAAGCCTCATCAAATTTTTAGCAGAACAATGGAAGAGACAACAAAACAGAGAGAAACTTAATGGAAAGACCCTGTACGTAACCTGTGAATGTCAGTGTTGGAAGATTAATGAAGAGGGAAGTGAAGAAGTACCTGAGCTTATCAGTTGCCAGGAAGAAGCTGATACGCGCCTTGTACTTCACGCTAAACATTCCTCGGACGATGGTTATGCTGCAGTTATAGTCAACTCAGAAGATACTGACGTGTTCATCATACTTGTAGCATTTTGCAGATCTATCGACGCCAAACTTTATCAAAGATGTGGAACTCAAACTTGTACAAAGCTGGTAGATATAGGAAAGGTGGCTTTAGCTTTGGGTGAGAGGCTGGATGTGGCACCGTTAGTGCCTTTTCCGGCAAGGGAAAACTCAGCGCATTTAAGCTAATGAAGGCAAGAGAAGACGTTAGAGAAGCGTACATTAAGTTAGGAGAAGCATGGAATCTGTCCGATGAACTGTTCGAGGTATTAGGGGAGGTTGCCTGCTCTCTTTACACTCTCAGCACCGCAACCACAAGTAATATCAACGATGTCAGGTACAACTTGCTCCGCGCTAAGAACGGTGAAATCGAATCTCACTTGCTGCCCCCTTGCAAGGATTGCCTCAGTAAGCACGCCATGCGGGCAAATTATCAAGCATGTATTTGGCGAAGAAGTCTTGAAAGGAATCCGGTCATTCCTAGTCCAGTGGGTATGGGCTGGAAGATGGAAACACTTGCTGATTCTCAAGTTCTTAGTATTGACTGGATGGAGAAGAAACCTGCACCAGAGGCTGTGCTAGAACTCCTGCCTTGTAAATGCAAATCATGTCTTTGTGTAGTGAATGGTCTAACGTGTACAGATATTTGTGCTCTAGCGAACTGTGAAAATCAAGTGGAAGCTGATGACGAAATTGAAGTGGGTAGTTCAGACGTTGACGATGACCCCGAGGAGGAGTGAGAATTCACTTAAGTGACAATCTCGGAGTATTTCTAAGACGTTGTATAAGACATTTTTCCTGTGTATCTAACTACGAAATTTGAATTGCTTAAGTGGAAATGCTGAGAACATAGTGGCAAAGAATACGTAAATAACCACCTTAGCTCAAAACTACAGTTTAAACAAAATTAAAAGACTGACTTGACTATGAAATGAACGAGGGTGGCCCTATTTCCCGCCAAGGAGACTGGGATTAAGTTGTAATTTTCTGTCTAAAAGGATGTCTTCACATGTGCACTAAAAAATAGTGTTTTCGGATAAAAAGTTTTGAACGAAGCTGATTCCAAGGTGAAAACAACTCAACTGGGTGGAAAAGAGAGGACGTTCTGTCTTTGTACATGTCACGTGACTGAACACGTGATCATCCAAACTGTGTTGTCCAACATATAGCTGAATTGTGCACTTTGGGGTAAAAGCATCAAACTTGGCACTGTAATAGTACTAGCTGTACAAACAATGTGTAGCTATGGACCCCACTCAAATATGCGCGGGTGGAGGCACATTGTGCCCTTGGGGGGAGGGGTCATGGCGTTTTTGTTTTGGACCGGAAAAGACTCAAAAAAGGGAAGAAAGCTGTCTAGAAAACTTTTGAATTCTCATTTTCTTAACAGTAGCACAAGATGAACCCTATAAAATACCTGTTACCCACTTTTCGGAGAGATTTTCTGAAATTATTTTTAAAAAGTGTGTAAATGATTCTTGCCAGAAGGAAAAACCAAGTAGAAGCAAGTTAAGTCTCGAAGGGCAGAATGAATTTGAGTTAAAGCTTTACAATATTATACATGCACCCGCAGACACTTCAAAACACTTCCTGATGGAACAGACAAAACTGAAAACGGAAGAAACAAAAGGCCAGGCTACTCAAGGAAATTCAACATGGCGGACAGGAATGGCTGGTCTTTTTACTCTTTCGTTTGTCAGAGACTATGCCGTTTTTCACCCCTGGAAACATTGTTTCATTTTTATACTTTGACTGAAGTGAATTGTACTTTTTGGGAATTTAATTGCTCAGCCAACCTACTGCAAAAATAAAACATGAGACACTTACAGAGACCTTCAGAGCGTGATCGAGTAGGTGCAACGGGGAGTTATAAACAACTTTATTGCGGACGACAAGAGTAGCCTGCAGTTTTAATCTCCAGGTTATTATTATGCATGCATCGCAGGTACGTAGCCAGCATTCGTTTGGACTTCCACTTATAAGAATGAACGAAATTCACAGAAGGCAATTTGATCATTCGCATTTGGATCTTCTCTCGTCACTCAGAATCTGACCGCGCGTGTTTGGAACATCTATCACTTGAAACTTGCGCGAAGCACAGCGTTGGAGAAAAGGCGTTTTCATCTTCCATCGTTGTCGCCCTCCTTCCGTAACCTCTGTTATTTTCTTGTTTTCAATAGTATATTGATCGCTCTTACATTCTACTATCATCTTTACAATTATAAAAAATAAAAGTGCTGAGTTGAGGAGAAAAGGGAGAAAAGAACGAAAAAGCTTATAGTTCACATCAGTTCACAGAACCTTTAGTTTTATCCTAAGTGGAACATAAGAGACACTTCTCGCAGGAAAGGAAAACACTACCCGGTAAACTATTAGTTGTCCTAATGTCTGAACAAACAGACCGGAGTCAAAGAGTCAATAATGCCAAAAAAGTTCCGGCTATTTGCACAAAACGGAAGAAGCCTTGAGAACTTCTCCACTATTTCTGCACACCAAGGGAGTTGCCTAGCAAAGGTGTCTTAACGTGACCAAAGTGTAATGCAACAATGGGCTACAGGGGATGGAAAAGCGATGCAGTGCACCATAAAGGATTCTGCGGAAACACTTCCCTTAAACATGTACTAAAAGGAATTACCTGTTGGAGAGACAGAGTTGAGTTGGAATACAATGACATGAACGGAACTCAGAAGAAGAACGAGGAGCTTCTTCTGATCTTGACAGAATGCGATTAATTTCCTGTTGAGATCAATAATATTCGCACTCGTTCTGGCAGAGTTATCGCCTTGTCGCGAGCGGTAGCTTTGTACCAATAGCAATTAAACTCCCTGTATTTTTCAATGAGAGGATGGTTTCGAGTGCACTTTACACCCTTTAAGATCACATTACCGACTCGCTGATAAGAAAAGAAGCTGCCATTTTTACTGAATTGCGAAATGTGATCTATGATGACTGTGGATTCGGTTCTTTACCCCTTTGAGTAACGGGTGAACTTGATGACTAAATTCATGAATCGTGAAAATTGGTTTATAACACACGTGATACGTGAAATTTGTCAAAACTTACACGTGAAATGGGACCAGGACCCCCACTCCCCTTGCTACCCTCTTATGAATAGTATAACAATGATCGGCAGATTAAATAACCTAAAAGAGTGCCTTAAATCATGTAGTTTATTTCGGCAGGTTGATTAACTGATAATATAGGAAACGTGCGCTTACTACACCAGGACGAATCCCCCCCTCCCATAAACACCACCACCACCACCATCACCACTAGTATAGAGATGAAGGATAAGTTCAGAGGAGAAACTAATCGCTAAATGATTTAAAATTATGCCAGAATTCAGGAAAGATCATTGTATTCTTCCTCACAAGAGAAACTTATAGAAACATGCATACAGAGGTACTCCTACCCCTCCCCTTAAGCTCATGTAAGCTGCGTTGAAACCTTCCCCCCACACACACCACCTAGAACGTTAGATTAAATAGACCTTGTTAAAGTTCCTTAGGACACCACGTCTTATCGATATAACAAGATTGGCTTAACTTTGCAGCTTTATTTCAGTAACAACAGTTAATTTGGAAACTGCAACCAACCCACTCTCCTGAGTACAAAATGCCTCCCCCCTGACTGGGGTCCATAGTGAAGTGTTCTCCGAGAAGACACAACATACACTCAATATGGCGGATGGAAATGAACACACTTTATTCCAGTAGGCACGCGCTAAATATAACCGCTGACCTGATGCTACATCCCCTTTTTTTAAGAAACAAAGAAAGCTGAAATTACTGAATTTAACAAACAAACCGTAACAATAAAAAAAGAAAAAAGAAACACGAGACAATGCTGCAACGAGAGCAATGTGTCCTTTCTGAAAACTGAAAACAGAAAGCTTAAATGAAAAGCTGCAGTGTCTGCTTTGTATCTAATACTTAACATAGTCCTTAAATCTCTGCGGTTCCCTAATTGTCCGACCAGACCGCGTGGTAGTAGCCGTAGACATTCCGGTTGGCGGTGTTACAGGATTCCCGTGGACCACTCTAACAGAGGATGGCTCAACTTCGGTGTCTGTCAGGTCCTCATCATTCGAGACTTCCGGTGTAGGGGTCATTTCCGGGATCTGAGACTTCAGTTCTTAATAAATGTCGACGGTTTCGTCGGTACTCTCCACGCTCTGTTTCAACCTTGTAAGGTCTGGGTGAGGGAAGAACCTGTGTAACTCTAGCAGGTTTCCACTTGTTGCCTTCTCTGACTCTTACAACCTCACCATCCCTCAAAGGGGGCAGTTCCTTTGCTTTTCTGTCATGCTGCAACTTCTGCTTTCTCTGCCTTTCTTTTAACTTAGGGAGGACATCTTCAGGGTCATAGAGTTGAGGTTTCAACAAATCCTGATGCACCCAGTCGCTGGAATTGAGGTTCGCAAACGTGTGCCCATGAGCATTTGCGAGGGTGACAGATTAATTTCCTCCAGGGGTGTATTTCGGTAAGAAAGGAGAGCTTTGTATGGGTCACCATCTTTCTCCACCATTGCTTTAACGGTCTGGACGGTTCTCTCTAACTGGCCATTGGAGTGTGGGTAGCCAGGACTTGAAGTGATGTGTTCAAAACCCCAGTCTTCTGAAAACTTCCTAAATTCTGCAGAGTTGTAACAGGGGCCATTAGCCTGCTTAAGATCCGACGACGGCAGACGTCTGTGACGGCGAGCGGCAGTGAAATTACTGCTAGAAAGACTTCCGGCTGCCGTCGTTGCGAAGTTTCCCGCCGTAGGGGCCTTGTCTGTGACGTGAAGAAGGCCATTTTGCCGTCGCGTGTAAAACGTGAGTAAACTTGATCAAAATAATGCCATTTAAACACATTTTGAGCGAAATTCTTTAGCACTGTTAACAGTTTATTCTCAGTAGACCATTTTTGTCGAATTTCTAAGCGACTTAAACGATTTGAACACGGTATTTAAATTAAATTTGTTTGCCCTCTCTAAACAGTTTGACTCGTTAATCGCCATGAACTCGGTCAACTCGACAAAGAAAGCAACCCAGTAAGTTTTACAAGTTTTTTCTTGTGTTTATTGATGTGTTTATTAACAATTATGATATCGTAGACTTGTTTTGGCATTAAATTGAGGTCCAATGGATTATGTCACTCATCTTTTCGTCAAGCCTCTCGAGGTCAAAATGTTTGTAATTCTGGTAGGGAAAATCCGGGTTTTTAGATCTGTTGACATCATACAATAGTAAAAATTCATCTTCTGAAATGTCGCCATCATCGAAACTTGTCAGTAACAATTCACGAACCTTTCTAAAAGTAGTCATCACTCTTGTATTTATTTCTAAACTTCAACAGGAAAAGGCGCTACAACATCCCGCCGTCGCGCGGGCTTTCTTAATGCTATTTTTCGCGCCATTGCGACGGCGACCTCACCCCAAGCCCCCTCGACCAAGTCTGCCGTCGTAGAATCTCGCCGTCGTCGGATCTTAAGCTCACTATTGTCAGAAACGACATCTGAAAGGACTCCATATCTCGCGAACTGGGATTTAAGAGCTGTAATTACTCGGGTGCTTGTCATTGACGGGAGTTGAGTCATTTCTGGCCACTTGGAGTAATAATCGACAGTAACGAGGTAGTTCCGACCATTCTTGTGCAGAATATCTGTGCCAACCTTAGCCCAAGGCAATGGTGGAATCTCGTGCGACTTCAATGGTCCAGGCTGCTGACTTGGTTGATTTTCTAGACATGCAGGACAGTTTTTAATCTTCTCGGTTATCTCCACACTCATCCTGAGCCAGACCAATACGTTCCGCGCTCTCGCTATTGTCTTGTTGATATCTCTCCTCTCAAGCTACTTGGTACAACAATCTTTTGTCTCTTAACGATCAGTCTCTGGGCTACTCTTGTGCATTGGGTGGGACTTGACCTTTGGAATCTGGCCAACCCGACAAGATAACTTGTTGCAGGTCAGACAAAATCGCATCTTCCTTAGTTGCCTCAGCGAAATGGGCCAACTGGTGGTCAGAGATAACATCCTCTACTAAGTTTACTTCCAATTGCTCAGCATTCGTCAGCTGTTCTTCCAAATGGGCTCGAGACAAAGCATCTGCTAAATGTAGGCTGTCTCCACGCTTGTATACCACATTGATTCCTGGAAAGCGCTGCAGTTGGACCAACATCCGTTGCAGCCGTAAGGGTGCTACGTGTAAGGGCTTCTTCATAATTGCCTCCAAAGTTTTATGATCTGATTCAACGGTGACATCACGACCCACGATGTACTCTGCAAATTTGGCACAGCCAAATACTACTGCTAAAAGTTCCTTTTCAATTTGGGCATACCTTTCTTGAGTGGGCGTAAGTGCCTTTGAGGCATAAGCTATTGGTCGGTCTTCCTGAATCAATGCTGCACCCAGCCCAGTTGAACTGGCATCAACTTGTAGCGTCAGGGATTTCTTTGCATCATAATATCCTAAAGTAGGGGCGCGGACAAGCGATTCCTTGATTGCTGTAAAACTAGCTTCCTGTTGCTCTTCCCAGTGCCACTCAACATCTTGGTGTAGTAACTGTCTTAATGGTGCAGTAAGGTCAGACATGTTGGGGATGACTTTACTGACATAGTTGATCATCCCCAACAATCTTTGTACACCAGATTTGTCTGTTGGCCTTGGCATTTCAACTATGGCTCTGACCTTCTCTGGGTCTGTCTTCAAACCGTCATGGAAGAACAAGTGGCCATGGATCTTCACCTCTTCCTGTTGTATATGGCACTTTGACTTCTTCAAACTGAGATTGTTATCTTTGGCACGCTGCAGAACAGCTCTCAACCGTGTATCATGTTCCGGCCCAGTTCGACCATGTATGATTATGTCATCCATGATGACTTTCGCACCCGGCAGTCCTTCAAAGACTTGCTTCATTCTTTGTTGGTAAACTTCTGGAGCAGACTTAATCCCCATCGGCATCCTCAGGTATCTATACCTCCCGAAGGGGGTATTAAATGTCAGGAGCTTGCTACTCTCCTCGTCTAACTAGATATGGTAGCATGCTTTTTCTGCATCCAAAGTTGAAAATAGTGTGGCTCCTGAACAACTAGTTGTGATGTCATCTATCACTGGCAGAGGGTAGTGTTCTCTTTTAATGGCAACATTAAAATCTTTAGGATCTAAGCATACACGAATAGATCCATCCGGTTTATCAACACAAACAAGGCTGCTTACCCAATCAGCAGGTTCATTCAAGGGAACTTTCTCTACAATGCCAACATTCTCCATCCGATCTAACTCTTTCTTCAGTGGGACTCGCTTAGAGTGAGGAACTCGTCTGGGTGGGTGGACCACGGGAGGAACAGAGGGGTCAATACTAATGTGATATTTCCCTGGGACGCACCCAAGTCCTTGGAATACTTCAGGGAACTCATTAAGTATACTGACACTTTCAATAGCATTTATGCGCTGGATTAGGTCCATATTCTCACAGGATGATCTACCCAGGAGGGGCATGTAATTATCATCAACCACTTGAGAACATACTTGATACCTTTCCCCACGCACCCAACAAGGCAACTCACACTTTCCAACAGGTCTAATACAAGTTTTGGAGTAACTTTCTAATCTTGCCGAGGAAGGTTGCAAAGGGTTTGTTGTAATTTTGTCACATGCGGCTTTGGGCAAGACATTGCACTGGGCCCCAGTATCTAGTTTAAAGACTTCTTGAACAGTTCCAAAATTGACAGTTTCAACCCAGTCTTTGTCTCCTGCATTGACTGCTCCAATTAACATAACTTAAGAGTCAGAGTCACAGTCATCAAGAGTGTTTACCTGTTTCTTTTGTCCATCTGGGGTACGACACATCCTTGAAAAATGGTTCATTTTCTGGCACTTGTGGCAGCGTCGCCCAGCAGCAGGACATGAATCTCGGGCATGTCGAATACCACAACTCCTACAGGGCATTCCCCATTGAGGCTTCTGTCCTTTGCCGTCTACTACATCCACTTTCTCAACTTTGCTACCCTCTTCTTTTATGCTCTTCATGTGCTGCTTGCTTGTTTCGGCGATGCGAGCTGCTTGCAATGTTTTCTCTAAACTCTGTTCTCTCTCCATCAACCTTTCTTTGGAAAACGGATCCTTAAGCCCCAGGACTAACATGGATGTAATCCAAGATTCTTCTTTAGAACCGAGGTTGCTGTTCTTAGCTAGTGTTTTCAATGCGCTACAGAATTCATCGACTGTCTCTCCGTCTTAAACAAATAACGATAAACAAATAACGATTGAAGTGCCTCGAGGACAGTGGTGCACAATGAGCTTTGAACTTTCCCTCGACGGCCTCAGATCATCCTCGGAATCCCACACAAAATTTGAAAAAATTTCCACACATTCCTTGCCAAGCACGTGGAGCAACGTAGCGACTTGATCGAGTACGCTCGCAACTTTGTACAGGTCCCATGACATTTTCCAACGCCGCCATGCTTCGGCTTTATTCGTCGCTGCAGACAATATCAGAGCTTCAGGCGGTTTCAGGTGCTCCATCCCACTTCTGACACCATGAAGTGTTCTCCGAGAAGACACAACATACACTCAAGATGGCGGATGGAAATGAACATACTTTATTCCAGTAGGCATGCGCTAAATATAACCGCTGACCTGTTGCTAAACATAGCTAATATTGTTCAGCAGCCCAAGTACTTTTATCATGCCAAATTTGGTGCTTTTATCCCTTAGTGCACAAATTTTTCACCATATGGCTTGACTAAAGCGATGTTCACGAACGACTGAACAAACGGCACAGCGATTAAAATTGCAAGAGAGACTACTAACAGAGACAACAATTTTCACTCACGAAGACAAGTATTAAAGTGTCTCTAAAAATCCTGAGTCCTTAAGCTTGAAGCTTATGTATATGTTTTAAGCCAGCTTCGAGGTGTTTGCTTTTTTCAAAGATGAACTCGAGGCAAGAAAATCGCTCAAAGTTTTCTTTCTACAGCCAAATTTATAACTAAATATTCTTCGGAACGTTTCTTCCTATTTGCGGTGAGAAAATATTTCTAAAGGCTTTTTAAGTTCTGTAAGCTTATACCAAACCTGATACTAGGTCAGATCATGGTCTCAACCAGGGCCGTAGCTAGCAAGAGGCAAGACGAGGCAGTTGCCTCAAATCCCTAGAAAAATTGGATCCGTTAAGAAAAAGCCAGCTAATACAAGGTGGACGAATTGAGGGAAAAAGCATTTTAAATGAGGTTAATTCGTTTCATGTGAACTGTGAGAAGCGGTTTTTCAAATGCTTTATTAAAAATGCAGATGGTCATTAACTTGGCACCAGCATCGCTAAGCAATAAAAAAGTGAATTTCTACACTTGCCCAAGATTGACTTTTTTGAAGAAAAATGCCACGGAAAATGCTTACAAGAGCATTTTTGAACCTCTAGGTTTCAAAATTTTCTCGGTGGGGGGGGGGGACATACCCCCAGACCCCCCTAATGGCTCGCGCCTTCGGCGCTCGAAACTTGCCTTGTCTTGTTCTAAAAACTGGCTACGGCCCTGTCAAATCTTACAAACGTGCATAAACTTGCCGCATAAACTGTGATTGACTTCATGAAATTAGATATATAAAAAAAACAAACATCAAATACAATAATTCCTCAGGCTTACTATTCGAGATGCAGCTCCTGAAAGCTACTGTGTTAAGGCCAGAATCGCTTGAGACTTTTAAACCCGTATCCAGCAAGGTGAAAAACAAAAACGATGCCAGCCGAAATCGGATGTCAGACTTTGACAAACGAAGCATTTGTCAACCAAAAACCCAATAAACAAACCATGAATAACAGAAGACTCTTGATAGGAGGTGTATTTCATTACATCCAGTGGAAAAAGACAGTTAAAAACATCACAAGTTGACACAAAACTCTGCCAGCTTCGCCTGCCAAGGTAAACAAGTTTCAGGATGCTACATAAATTTTCCGCTTGAACTCACCTGTCAAATTTTGAACAATCAGAGCATAAAATTGGACGTAGAGCGTGACCAACGCGTGATCATAGTAAAGAAAAGGTCTTCCCCGCCTGTAATTTTAAATAACTGGCTGAATTTTCGCGTTTGAGGTCAGTTTGAAATCAAAATATTAATAATGCGGGGCCATAGTGACATAATCACAACATATTTCACACGAATTTTAAAAAAATACACTTGAGCCTGCGTTCATTTGAAAACTAGTAACTTTACAGCGAATAACTTCAAAAAATACTCGACCTCGATGGGTCGACACCTGAGCCCGCGATACGGTAAGGTGATACTGGTCAGCGGATACTCCGTTTTGAGAGCTGTCAATTGATCACGACATAAATGTGCAATCAGCCTTCTCCTAGGCTTCCAAACTAGCTGCTAAGTGTGAAGGTAGACATTGGTTTCCTTGTGGTGCGGACGAACGGTCGCTAGGTCGGTGTACGGTCACATGATTACCAAATTTTCTGGGATATGTAGATTAACTAAGCTATGAGGCTCCGCCCACGCACGTACGCCTCGTGCGCGCGTTGAGCTCCGCTATCATTTCATTGCTTCTGTGAAAAACATAATCACATTATTTTTGTGCATTTTTGCAAAAAGCATTATCTTGGCTTTCTTGGGGTTGATTTTAAACATCTAGGAGTTGCAAGATGAAGATAATTTGTTTAGGCAATTTTGCAATCCTAATTTCGATCGTGATAGTATAACAAGGTCATCAACATAAAAAGGAGAATTGAGTTTGGTGCCATTTGGTTGATTGTGTCTTATTCTTACACCGTCACCTCAAATGATGTAGAAGCACTCAAATCGCGCTGAAACTTCTTAAAAACAAAGACAATGACTCCAGGTAACAATATTTACACTTTATTAATAAATTTTATCGCTTTTAGTTTATCGCTTTTAGTTCATTTATTTCATCTAAGTTTCAAACTCTTTATTTCCCATACAAACTCTCATATTGCACTTGGGCCACCTGTTTTATCACGCGCCGCCAAAAGGTCCTCGCCACCGGAAATGAGCCCTTTTACAAAATCTTAAGAAACAAAGCGAATCGCAAGCGTAAGCGCTGCTGCAGGGTTTACTACGAGACCAAAGTAAAAGACCTGTGTGACCAAATACCCTTTCATTGGTGGCAGGAGGTCAAACTGCTGTGTGGTACTGGCAAGCGCAGTATACGCGACCTGACATCCATCATCCAAGTTGATCTTGTCTGCGAAGAGACTGTTTGGCGGGAAAGATCAATGAGGCTCTAAAATACTGCGCTCGTGTACCTACTGATGGTAAACAGCCAGTTAATGTCACCGAATTATCTGTTGCTAGGAAATTTAGAGATGTGAGCACATCACGTGCAGACTGTCCAGATGACCCTCCCAACTGGGTGCTTATTGCTGATGTCTTCAGAGGCACCCAACGACGATTTCCTCCTGAATATATTGAAAGCTTTTTTTAGGCTATCCAGAGTACTGTTAGATCTCTATAAATGCACCATAAGCGGAGCCATAAAATTTGTATCCTTTCTATCATCCTAGGGGCAGTCGTGAGTCTTCAAAATTACAGTCCTCGAACCCCACATTCCTTTCATCTATTGATACTTACCAGTATGGTGTCATCCCCGGCTCATCTACGACCTTTGCACTTATTGCTAAGCTCCACCGACAGTTCCGCCGGTGTGGACTGTGAGAACTGCTTTGAGGACTTCGAAAGGCTTTCGACTTAGTCGACCACTGGACCGTTGTCGCCAAACTCCATAGCCTGGGTGTAAAGCCTGTAACTCTAAAATGGAATGGGCTCAGGTGAGGTTTTCTCGCAATGATCAATGCCCGTAAGGTTCCAGGAGGCGCAAAACTCATTTGGAAATTTCCGGACGACAACACCATCTCTGAGCTGATTCCATCATCCAGAAACAGTAATTTTCAACAAGCTGTCGACTCCATAAGCAATTGGTCCCAGGAAAATCGTTTCCAACAGAATCCGTCCATTTGCAAAGAAATGCTGACCTGAGAATTTCTGTTAATGATGCTCCTGATAAGGTTAATGGGAACAATTTTAAAACGTCCAGTTTCCCGAAGTACTTCGCCTTACGATTCAGAACCCTGGGAACTCTTTTATTATCAGCCACTGCATTGAGGGGCTGACTTGCCCGACTACTTTTACTTTTAAAATTCTTTAGTATAATCGTTCACTCCCTCTATAATGATATGTTTTATTTTACAATTTTTGTAGCAACTGAAGGTAAGACTAGCCATTTCATTACATTATATAGTTGCGTACTATACAATTGGTGCAGCACTCTTCAGATAAAATGGCCTTATCGTCAAAGGCGTACGGGCCGGGGGGGCGCACACACACACACAAATTTCGGGCAACTCAGATTTGTTGGGCAGCAAGAGAAAATGTGGGCAAAGCCAGTTTTTAAAGATGTTTCCATGTTTTTTGTATTATTATTTTGAAGAGATAAATATCTTCTATTTTAACCTGAAGTCGGCATAATAACCCAGTTACATTTACACGAGACAGTCTTTTGATAATGACAAATGATGCAACACACTCCGCAATGAGCATGAATTGCCTCGGTCCGTCTCCGCTCAAATACAAATCAACTATCCGTGTTTTTATTTCCGTACTGGGAAGCTTAACGGGCCTGAACTTTTATCCCAAAATATCTCGATAACGCTCTTTCCGTTTAACTTCACGAATATCGAGGCGACTACAAACGCCTGTATAAGATCCTTGCAAATAAGGGAGCGGACATGCGGAGAAAAGTACAGCCACTTTAGGATAGCTCCATGGTGAGAATAGGTTCATAATAGTTGTAGCACAGCATGAAAGCCCTTTCTACAAGCACAATTTGTAGCAGTTTTCTTTGGAAAATGAGGTAATGTTGGTAAAGTGTGTGATAGTCAAGATCTATACACTACATCGCAAGACTGGTGACTGATTTATGAAATCTCAGTCAGTAGTTAATCACCACTTAGAAAATGATTTTCAAGCCTTGTTCTTTTATTCAAGGTTTGGAAAGTGTAAATATCAGTTGTGTATTTCCTTTTTGAAATCAGGTTCTGAAATCAGTAACACAAGCACCATTAGGTAGCCAGGCTGTAGCCTGCATCTATTAGCCCAAGAGTTACTATTCTATTAATGCTTCTCCTGTAACTGAATACCCAAAACAACTTCACTTATCCCTCAGGCATGCTAAAAAGAGAGTCCAGTAGTGCCAATTAGCTTATATTGTGTAGTTTGTAAACACAGATAATTCATTGACTAGGAGAAGAGATGGAAAGGGACACCCCTGTAGTAGAAAATGCCCCAATTTAGGGACCAAGTACTCGCAAGGAACACAGCATCCTCTTGCAGAAGTAAATATCAGTAGTAGTAGCCACTTGGAAGATGACCGCCTAATTGCAAGAGCAAGGGCAGTTGGTGTGGACTATGGGTTTGCAAAGCCTGGTGAAGTGGAAACAGAGGATGACAGGAGAAAAAGACAGCGGCGAAACCAAAAACGAATATCATAACAAGAGAAAAGGCTGCGTGAAGTTGTTGGAGATCTACCACCACCTCCACCAGCAGGGTCAAGTCAGCAAGAAGAAAATGCATGCAGTGCTATTCGTTCATTTGAGGTGGAGCAGATGACTTAATATACCTGAGAAGCAATGGGGATAACTCATTAATTCGGTAATCCTCACAACAAAAACAGAGCTGTATACAAAATAGACAAAGGACCCACATAATCTTGTGTGTTAAAAATAGAAACAGGAGATAGATGGAGCATGCATAGCTTACGGAATGGTATTCCAGTAGATTTAACAAAAAAGGTGTTCAGTCCCTTTTAAATAGACTTTAATAATGTTAATCACATATAGCCATTTATCATAGTTTTAATCTTCGTTATATATAATCATTGTAAGTTTTTTATTCCAATAGAAGATTAAACATGTGCTGTTTAAAAGATCGAGGAGGTCAATTTTAAATAGTTTAAGAAGGGAGTTACGGGATTAGTTTAAGTTGTTTATACAAGGGAGTTGTGCAATATAAGAAGTGCATACTTAGATAAAACATTCAGTTGGGTTTGGGGTGCAGGCGCGATGTTTCTGATGTTTCTTGTCTCGTTTCAGTGTTTCTGGTTGTTGTTTTTCGATAATAATTTATTCATGGATAGTTGTGGAAAAGGTGACTTGTAAGGGTGGAGAATGGAAAACTTGTCCATCAAAAAAGGCCCCGTCCCCTTAATCACGTACACGTACAACATGTAAAAAAAATCTGTTGTTTTTTTGACTGACTTAGCCCTGAAAACAGCACTCCGCGAACTAAATAACACTTCCTAGTAACACTGTATAGATGTTTAAATATCTTTATGAGATACCTTTCCCACACTTGTACCAGGGTCCTTTTACGAGGTTCCTGGTCTTCACCAATACTACTGTCTATCATCATCATTACTATCATTATCATTACATTATTTACTGTAATGAAATCGGGAGCTCCGCTTTTAGGCTTGGCTAAATTCCCCCCCCCCCCCCGCCCCCTGGCAAAAAAATTCCCGTACGCCTGTGATTATGGTTGATTACAACAGAACGCTGTTACTGTATACACAATGCCATTTCCGTAGACTCTGTTGTGTAACAAAAGGGGACTTGGAATTTTGTAACAGAAATTTACTAGCGCGTCTGCAGGAAGATACAAGTTCGTGGCGCTTGTTAAGTGTTGGCAGATGCGGCTTGCAGATAATAAAATACTTCTCCCGCAGACAAATCACACCCTTTGGAAGAGGAGTTGTATGCGATAGACTGCTTCCAAAATCTTCTAAGTGATCTGGAAGTTAGTATTGTTGTCTTTAAGGTTTCATACATATGCTCACTGAGCTCGTGATCATTCTCTTGTTAGGGTTCTTAAATGATGCTTTATGGCTCGCGAAGCGAGTCTTGAAAGTGTTTTCAGTTAGTCCGACGTAAGTTTCGTCAGGTGTGCTGTCTTCTGTAGTTACGGTCGCTTGATATACAATGGATTTCTGAAGAGAATTGCCAGCCATGGAAACCATCCGACTGCCCCAATCAATTTTTCCACAGATCAGCTTCTGTATCATTAGGTTGACTCATTTTTATTATTTTCACTACGTTTTCATTTTTACTTGTCTCGAATAGCAGTTTTTGTTAATTTGCAGAGCAATTGTACTTACGTTTTTGTAAAATAGGTGTTAGTAAAGTTTTTTTGTTTGTATGTTTTTTAATTTTCACGGTTCGAATCTCACAGATGTCCGTAATGTGACAGTAAAACCATAGTAGTCTAAACAATCTAAATAAATAAATAATGAAATAAATAAGTAAGGCTGAGTGAAACCAGCATCTACCAGAGGTCACTGAAGCGGCACTCAACTTGACACATGACAGAGACGCCATCTCTGATGGTTTGTTTTGTATTTTTTGGTATTTTTTGCAGTATTTAGTAAATTTTCAAAAACTAGTTACCTCCGTTGATCCGGCGAAAATGTTTCTTTCAAACCTTCAGTCATGTGAATTTTAGTTCACGTGCTTTAGCATTAAAAATACTTTAATTTTTTTTTTGGTTTGTCGTTTTCCTGTAGTCACTTGAATTCTCAAGTGAGAGGAATCTAGAGAGGATTAGTTATATTATTTTACCTTGAACAGCACAAGGAAGAGCAAACAACAGAACTGCCAGGAAAATCAATATATGCACCTCAGCTCGAAGAAAAACCTGTAAATGAGATAAGACAGAAAAGTTATTTGGTAAGAGATAGACATTCACTTCTATCTTAGTATCTTTGGGATCATATTTTCTCTCTTTCACTATAGCGCGTGTTAAAGAGTTTAAACCCGTTTTTGTAATTTAATGTTTTTGAAACACATATAATAGCAAAATACAATTATCGAGTCCACACATAATAGAAGCGTTTCTACACCCCATCAGACAAAAATAAGGGCGAATTTTTGAACGCAGAAAAAGACGACTTGCAAATAGCTGCTATTTGCAGCTATTTGCTTATTGGGCCTTATTAAAATGCAATTTATGATATAAAATAACTGCAGTATTTCGTGCAGCATCTGAACAGTAGATATTACCATCACCAACTGTAATGTATCGATAGTATTGTCTACCGGAAGTTGTGTTAGCGGAAGTTCTCGGATACTATAAACGTGCAAAGGATCATGGATATTTGTGTGGGCCATACTTTCCGGGTGTCATGGCGGCCGAATAAAGTGTAGTTTCTTTCATAGTTAAATCTGGTTTATTACACGGCCATCCGGGCGTCATTGCTACATTGGCGACGAGGATTCAATTCGTTTTGTGAGGTAGTGGATATTTTGGAAGTCATTTTTGCGGAAAGTCCTAGTATTTTGTCAGGCAGATGACGGACAGTGGAACCACTTCGAGTACAACTTCAAGTTAACAAGCTTCGCCAACCGCGACGTTTGTTCCTCTTCTTGATGTGGCCAGCCTTCCTCCCTTCAATCCAAAGGAAGATCCGAACACCCTTGCAGTTCGCTGGAAGTTGTGGAAACGCTCGTTTAATCTGTATTTCGTGGCAAAAGGGATTACGAAAGATGAACAGAAAACCGCATTGCTGTTGCATACTGGAGGGCTGAATTTTCAGGAGCTTTCCTACACGTTATTGACCGGTACGGATAAAAAGCCGTTCGCTGAGAGTATGGAGTTGTTGGATAACTATTTTGCACCGCAGTTGAACGTCCCATACGAAAGGCATCAGTTTAGGCAAATGGAGCAATCGTCAGGAGAGTCGGTGCATCAATTTGTTTGTCGGTTGAGGCAGAAAGCGATCTTCTGCGAGTTTGAAAATGTTGATGAGGGAATAAGGGATTAGCTTATTGAGAGATGGAGGGATCCCAGACTTCGCCGTAAGTTCCTCGAGAAAACAAATGCGACTCTGAAGGATTTACAAGTTTTGGCTCGTGTGCAGGAAGCAGTGAACATGCAGGTCAAGGCTATGGATCAGTCATCCGGTCAGGTGAATGCTGTTTCCGGCAAACCTCACAGCAAAGGAAAAGGAAAAGGGACAGCGCAGGGTAGAAACAGAGGAAATAAGCCTGGTAAACCGTCTGGTCGTTCTCAGGAGACAAAAGTGAAAGGCTGTTTTCGCTGTAATTACACTGACCATATGGCACATGACCCGAATTGTCCTGCCCGTAGCAAGAAATGTAATGCATGCGGCGAGATTGGACATTTTGCGGTCTTTTGCAAAACAAAGGAACGCAAACCTCTTACAAGAGATGACGAGGGAAGGAATAATACACGGGGTAGAGCCTATCAACTATCAGAGGAATCAGCCACTGGCCAACATGATTATTATGCATTTACAGTTGGAGTCGGTCAGCCTACAAGTGGTAGTGAAGTTGATTTGAAGGTTGGAGGAGTGACGTTACTAGCGGTACTTATTGATTCTGGAGCGTCGTGCAATGTGATTGACCAAGCAACCTGGGAAGTTTTGAAGAAGACTATCCAGTGTGAGTCCAAGAAATCAAGCAAAAAGTTGTTTGCTTATGGACAGAAAGATCCTATTGAGGTGATTGGGACATTTGTGTCTGAGATTGTGTGCGAGATCAGTGGCAACAGTTGTCCAGGAAGGTCCAGGAAGATCTCTACTCGGAAAGAACACTGCAGAGAAGTTGGGCGTGTTAAGGGTCGGTCCAGATGTGTGTTCATTAACTGTTGAAGGAAGTGATGCCGACATCCGTGAGAAGTATAGAGAGATTTTTACAGGGGTTGGGAAGCTGAAGGATTTTCAGCTGAAATTACATATAAAAGACGATGTCACACCGGTTGCACAACCCGTGCGGAGACTGTCATCTGGGTTAAGAGCCAAGGTTGACGAGAAGTGGGATGAGCTGTCAGCCAAAGACATCATCGAGGAGGTGTCACACAACCCAACTGAGTGGGTGTCGCCGTTGGTTGTTGTCCCAAAGACAGACGGTGACGTTCGGATTTGCGTGGACATGCGCAGGGTGAATTCAGCAATAGACAGGGAAAGACACCCCATCCCTACAATTGAGGAAGTCTTGTACGACCTTAATGGCTCAACTGTCTTCTCAAAGCTCGATCTCAAGTGGGGCTTCCACCAGGTGGAATTGGCTGAAAGATCACGCGAGATTACAACGTTTGTTACACACCGTGGTTTGTACAGGTACAAACGTTTGATGTTCGGGGTAACATCGGCGCCTGAAAAATACCAGAAAATTGTGACGGATGTTTTGCATGGTTGCGAGGGAGTGGCTAATTTGGCAGATGATTTGATTGTGCATGGTTGTGGCATAAAGGAACACGACAGGAATTTGCATGCTGTACTGACCCGATTGAAAGAGAAAGGACTAACCTTGAATGGGGACAAATGCCAGTTTCGTCTTCCCAAGCTTACATTCTTCGGTCATGATCTGAGCAGGCAAGGTGTGGCGCCCAGTGAAGAGAAAGTAGCTGCCATCTTGAATGCAAGCCCTCCACAAGATGCTTTACAGGTCAGATAATTTGCTCAGCTTGTACAGTATTCTGCAAAGTTTCTTCCCAACTTTGCGCAAGAAGCAGAAACACTCAGGAGCCTCCTGAGGAAGAATGAGCCTTTCATCTGGGGTGAAGCACAGGAAAGGTCATTCCAGAAGTTGAAACAGTTAGTTGCACAGGCCACTACGCTTGCATATTTCAGAGGAGACTGTAACACGCGTATTATTGCCGATAAAGGTCCACAGGGTTTAGGTGCAGTGCTGACTAAACTTCAAGATGGCGAGTGGCGAGCAATCTCGTACGCGTCCAGAAACCTCACTGAAGTGGAGCGGAGATACAACCAGACCGTGGAAGAGGCCCTTGTCCTAGTATGGGCTTGTGAGAGGTTCAACATTTATGTCTACGGGCGCAAATTTGAACTCGAAACTGATCACAAGCCACTCGAGTGTATTATTAGCAGGCTTTTAGAACCATCAGCACGTATCGAACGTTGGGTTCTGAGGTTGCAGGGGTATGACTACAGAGTTGTTTATCGGCCTGGCAAAGCGAATATCGCAGACTCTCTGTCAAGACTCAATCAATGTAACCCTAAAGACACAAGTGGGGAGGAATTTGACTTTGTCAAGGCAGTCGCTGAGGAAAGCTTACCTGTTGCCCTGACAGCGAAACAAGTCGAATTGGTTGCTGATAGTGACCCAGAAATTGCTAGCCTGAGAAAGTAGGTTTTAAGTGGGGACTGGTCTCAATGTATGATGACAGCTTATGTGGGTGTCAAGGATGAATTGTGTGTGTTAGGCAAAATTGTTTTGTGCGGTACGAGAATTGTTGTTCCGAAGGCTTTACGGGGAGAAGTCTTGCGTCTTGCCCACGAGGGACATCAGGGCATCGTAAAAATGAAGGCACGTTTAAGGA